CACTACGCCATGTGACTCAAGGCAGTGGGTACCACCACTACGTCATGTGACTCAAGGCAGTGGGTACCACCACTACGTCATGTGACTCAAGGCAGTGGGTACCACCACTACGCCATGTGACTCAAGGCAGTGGGTACCACCACTACGTCATGTGACTCAAGGCAGTGGGTACCACCACTACGCCATGTGACTCAAGGCAGGGTACCACCACTACGTCATGTTGACTCAAGGCAGTGGGTACCACCACTACGTCATGTGACTCAAGGCAGTGGGTACCACCACTACGTCATGTGACTCAAGGCAGTGGGTACCACCACTACGTCATGTGACTCAAGGCAGTGGATACCACCACTACGTCATGTGACTCAAGGCAGTGGGTACCACCACTACGTCATGTGACTCAAGGCAGTGGGTACCACCACTACGTCATGTGACTCAAGGCAGTGGGTACCACCACTACGTCATGTGACTCAAGGCAGTGGATACCACCACTACGTCATGTGACTCAAGGCAGTGAGTACCACCACTACGTCATGTGACTCAAGGCAGTGGATACCACCACTACGTCATGTGACTCTGCAGTGGTTACCACCACTACGTCATGTGACTCTGCAGTGGATACCACCACTACGTCATGTGACTCTAGGCAGTGGATACCACCACTACGTCATGTGACTCAAGGCAGTGGGTACCACCAATACGTCATGTGACTCAAGGCAGTGGGTACCACCACTACGTCATGTGACTCAAGGCAGTGGGTACCACCACTACGTCATGTGACTCAAGGCAGTGGGTACCACCACTACGTCATGTGACTCAAGGCAGTGAGTACCACCACTACGTCATGTGACTCTAGGCAGTGGGTACCACCACTACGTCATGTGACTCAAGGCAGTGGGTACCCACCACTACGTCATGTGACTCAAGGCAGTGAGTACCACCACTACGTCATGTGACTCAAGGCAGTGGGTACCACCACTACGTCATGTGACTCAAGGCAGTGAGTACCACCACTACGTCATGTGACTCTAGGCAGTGGGTACCACCACTACGTCATGTGACTCTAGGCAGTGGATACCACCACTACGTCATGTGACTCTAGGCAGTGGGTACCACCACTACGTCATGTGACTCAAGGCAGTGGGTACCACCACTACGCCATGTGACTCAAGGCAGTGGGTACCACCACTAGGTCATGTGACTCAAGGCAGTGAGTACCACCACTACGTCATGTGACTCTAGGCAGTGGGTAACCACCACTACGTCATGTGACTCTAGGCAGTGGGTACCACCACTACGTCATGTGACTTTAGGCATTGGGTAACCACCACTACGTCATGTGATTTTAGGCATTGGGTAACCACCACTACGTCATGTGACTCTAGGCAGTGGGTACCACCACTACGTCATGTGACTTTAGGCAGTGGGTAACCACCACTACGTCATGTGATTTTAGGCATTGGGTAACCACCACTACGTCATGTGACTCAAGACAGTGGGTACCACCACTACGTCATGTGACTCAAGGCAGTGGGTACCACCACTACGTCATGTGACTCAAGGCAGTGGGTACCCACCTCTACGTCATGTGACTCAAGGCAGTGGGTACCACCTCTACGTCATGTCACTCAAGACAGTGGGTACCACCACTACGTCATGTGACTCAAGGCAGTGGGTACCACCACTACGTCATGTGACTCTAGGCAGTGGGTACCACCACTACGTCATGTGACTTTAGGCATTGGGTAACCACCACTACGTCATGTGACTCAAGGCAGTGGGTACCACCACTACGTCACGTGACTTTAGGCATTGGGTAACCACCACAACGTCATGTGACTCAAGGCAGTGGGTACCACCACTACGTCATGTGACTCAAGGCAGTGGGTACCACCACTACGTCATGTGACTCTAGGCAGTGAGTACCACCACTACGTCATGTCACTCTAGGCAGTGGGTAACCACTACGTCATGTGACTCATTGAGTCGTTCCTAACTACATAATTGGCGTCATTATTTATAATTTATATTATTTTAGCAGTTTCTAAGCCAAAGCCCTCTCGATAATAATGCAAACCAGACATCAACAAGCAAAATAGTATTAAATATTTAAACATTAAAATAATAAGTAGACAACTAATTCTCATAGTTATTTCAAAATTCAACGAACTGGATGACAGCGAATCACAACGTTGCAATGTGTGCCGAGATATGTAAAGCAACTAAACTAAAATCATAATCACACAATAAAATTAGACCCACTCCGCAAATGCCAGTGTGACCCCCCCACCCCCAACCATTATCCAGCCCTGTTAATAAATTCTAAGACTAAAGTGCGTAACAACATTTTCCGATCACTCTGGCAGACCGCTACAATTCACAACACCGAAACGTTCCAACTTTTCTGGGTCAGACAGACCTCTACACCACACACACACAAAAACATCGGCGAATTTCTATGGGTGAGAAACACTTCCCCAAACACACAGCACGCAATTTAATCTGGATGAGACTTCCCCATACACACACAGACAACAACCACTGTTCACCACTCAGTGGCGGTGACGTCACCACGGCGCTTGTGCCAGGCTACGTGCACTTTGAGGCCACGTGAAGCGTAGAAGACTCGCTGGCAGGTCACGGGAAAGACCCAGGTGCCATCGGTTGACTGCCTGAGATGACTGCCCGATGCTCCATCTGTGCCCTCTACTGTGCCAATTCCCTGTGTTTTATCCGCCCGATGTTGTGAGCATCGGCTCCTCTGCCCTCCGCTGATGTCGGAGAGCGACTGCTTCCAACTGCCCATTAGCGTCCTTCACGAGCCTCCTCCACCCATCCACTCTGAGTGAGTGGATGAGACAGACCTCCACACGCACACACACACATCGCACGTAGATGTCTCTGGATGAGATATACCGCACTACACAGCACGTGGATATCTGTGTACGAGACAGCTTTCCACACACACCACGTGGATGTCTCTGGATGACACAGTCCACGTGGATGTCTCTGGGCCGAGACAACACCGCAGCACGTACACACAGAGCACGTGGATGTCTCTGGGCCGAGACAACACCGCAGCAAGTACACACACACAGAGCACGTGGGTGTCTCTGGGCTGAGACAACACCGCAGCACGTACACACACAGAGCACGTGGGTGTCTCTGGGCCGAGACAAAACCGCAGCACGTACACACACAGAGCACGTGGGTGTCTCTGGGCCGAGACAACACCGCAGCACGTACACACACACAGAGCACGTGGGTGTCTCTGGGCCGAGACAACACCGCAGCACGTACACACACAGAGCACGTGGGTGTCTATGGGCTGAGACAACACCGCAGCACGTACACACACAGAGCACGTGGGTGTCTCTGGATGACACAGTCCACGTGGGTGTCTCTAGGCCGAAACAACACCGCAGCACGTACACACACAGAGCACGTGGGTGTCTATGGGCTGAGACAACACCGCAGCACGTAGACACACAGAGCACGTGGGTGTCTCTGGGCTGAGACAACACCGCAGCATGTACACACACACAGAGCACGTGGGTGTCTCTGGGCTGAGACAACACCGCAGCACGTAGACACACACCACGTGGGTGTCTCTGGGGCAAGACAACACCGCAGCACGTAGACACACACACAGCACGTGGATGTCTCTGGGCCGAGACAACACCACAGCACGTAGACACACAGAGCACGCGGGTGTCTCTGGGCCGAGACAACACCGCAGCACGTACACACACAGAGCACGTGGGTGTCTCTGGGCCGAGACAAAACCGCAGCACGTACACACACAGAGCACGTGGGTGTCTCTGGGCCGAGACAACACCGCAGCACGTACACACACACAGAGCACGTGGGTGTCTCTGGGCCGAGACAACACCGCAGCACGTACACACACAGAGCACGTGGGTGTCTATGGGCTGAGACAACACCGCAGCACGTACACACACAGAGCACGTGGGTGTCTCTGGATGACACAGTCCACGTGGGTGTCTCTAGGCCGAGACAACACCGCAGCACGTACACACACAGAGCACGTGGGTGTCTATGGGCTGAGACAACACCGCAGCACGTAGACACACAGAGCACGTGGGTGTCTCTGGGCTGAGACAACACCGCAGCATGTACACACACACAGAGCACGTGGGTGTCTCTGGGCTGAGACAACACCGCAGCACGTAGACACACACCACGTGGGTGTCTCTGGGCCAAGACAACACCGCAGCACGTAGACACACACACAGCACGTGGGTGTCTCTGGGTCGAGACAACACCACAGCACGTAGACACACAGAGCACGCGGGTGTCTCTGGGCCGAGACAACACCGCAGCACGTACACACACAGAGCACGTGGGTGTCTCTGGGCCGAGACAACACCGCAACACGTACACACACACAGCACGTGGGTGTCTCTGGGCCGAGACAACACCGCAGCACGTACACACACACAGCACGTGGGTGTCTCTGGGCCGAGACAACACCGCAGCACGTACACACACAGAGCACGTGGGTGTCTCTGGGCCGAGACAACACCGCAACACGTACACACACACAGCACGTGGGTGTCTCTGGGCCGAGACAACACCGCAGCACGTACACACACACAGCACGTGGGTGTCTCTGGGCCGAGACAACACCGCAGCACGTACACACACACACAGAGCACGTGGGTGTCTCTGGGCCGAGACAACACCGCAGCACGTACACACACACAGAGCACGTGGGTGTCTCTTGATGACACACACACACAGCACGTACACACACAGAGCACGTGGGTGTCTCTGGGCCGAGACAACACCGCAGCACGTACACACACACACAGCACGTACACACACACACACACCACGTGGATTCCCCGTGTCACCCCGACACACACGTGGGGCGAATTCCCCACAAACCCATGATGTCACCCCCTTTTTCGGGCGGCCGCCCCATTGGCTGAGCTCGCGTCACGTGGCCGAGGGGGAGGAGGGAGGGATGAAGGGGGGGGCAGCTGCTCAGCTGTTCGTCTCTGGCGGTGTGAGACGAAGCCGCTGTTCAGCGTCTCCCATTTCTTTTAGCCTCGTTGTTTATTGCTACATTTTTGTTTAGTTTGTTTCAGTCGACTATTTCCTTGTTGTTGTTGTTTAGCTCGATGTGATTGCTTCGTTTCGCCTTCTTCTTCGCGTTTGTATCGACCCGCGTGTCGGTAACAACCACCACCACCATCATCACCATCACCACCCGCCTCTCTTCTTTCTCTGCGTGGCCGACAGCCACATCGCGATGGGCGACAAAAGAAGCCCCACAAGGTAACGCCATCGTGTGCGCGTTCCGGCTGGGGAGACAAAGGCGGTCGGGCGTGGTGATGGATACAGCAAACCCTACCCCCTACCACCCCCTCATGTGTCGGCTGTAGTCGGTGCTTACTCGCTCGCAGCACTTGCCCCCATCAGCCTGCGTCGACTACACGGGGGAGCTTTGCCTCTGTCTATTTGTGTCGGTGTGTGCGTGTTGTGTAGCACTTCACGTGGCCTTAAAAGTGCACCTAGCCTGGCACGCGCGCGCCGTGGTGACGTGATCGCCACATCGTGGCGAATGGCGGCGGCGGCTGCTGCTGTGTGAGTGGTTGTGATTGTGTAGATCGGTGTGAGTGTGTGTTTGTGTGATTGTGTGTGTGATTATGTGAGTGTGATTGTGTGTGTGTGATTGTGTGTGTGATTATGTGTGTGAGTGTGTGTGATTGTGTGTGTGATTGTATGTATGTGTGTGTGATTGTGTGTGTGATTGTATGTATGTGTGTGTGATTGTGTGTATGTGTGTGTGATTGTGTGTATGTGTGTGTGTTTGTGTGTGATTGTGCGTGTGATTGTGTTTTGTGTGTGTGAGTAATTGTGTTAGTGTGATTGTGTGTGTGAGTAATTGTGTTAGTGTGATTGTGTGTGTGAGTAATTGTGTTAGTGTGATTGTGTGTGTGAGTAATTGTGTTAGTGTGATTGTGTGTGTGTGAGTAATTGTGTGAGTGTGATTGTGTGTGTGTGTGTGTGAGTAATTGTGTGTACGTGTGAGTGTGATTGTGTGTGTGTGTGTGAGTGTGATTGTGTGTGATTGTGTGTGTGTGTAATTGTGTGCGAGTAATTGTGTGTGAGTGTGATTGTGTGTGTGATTGTGTATGTTATTGTGTGAATGTGTGTGATTGTGTGTATGTGTGTATGTGTGTGATTGTGTGAATGTGTGTGATTGTGTGTATGTGTGTATGTGTGTGATTGTGTGTATGTGCGTGTAATTGATTGTGTGTGATTGTGTCATTGATTGTGTGTGAGTGCGATTGTGTGTGTGTGATTGATTGTGTGTGATTGTGTATATGTGTGTAATTGATTGTGTACGATTGTGTATGTGTGTGTGATTGTGTATGTGTCTGTGATTGTGTATGTATGTGTGCGATTGTGTATATGTGTGTGTGCGGTTGTTTCTGAACCAGTCCTGGGCCTCCCCTAGGTCGACTCAGCCTAAAATGAGTACCTGGTGCGGTGTGTAAACATCGCTACTGGGGAGACAAAGGCGGCCGGGCGTGGTGCTAGCCACCCACCCCCTCGTGTGCCGTGCCGGCCTTCATAGGTGCTCGCTAACAGCACTTGCCCCTACAGTCTGTTAAGGCTATACGGGGGATCTTTGTTTTTGTCTTTGTTGTGCGATTGTGTGTATGTATGTGTGTGATTGTGTATATGTGCGTGAGTGTGATTAAATGCGTGTGATGTGTATATATGTGTGAGTGTGTACATGTGTGTGTGTAATTGAAGTGATTGTATATATGAGTGAGTGTGTACATGTGTGTGTGTACTTGAATGTGTGTGTGATTATGTATATAGGTCGACTCAGTCTAAAGTGAGTACCTGGTGATGGTGTGGAGTCAACATCGCCACTGGGGAGACAAAGGCGGCCGGGCGTGGTGCTGGCCACCCACCCCATCGTGTGCCGTGCCAGCCCTCATAGGTGCTCGCTAACAGCACTTGCCCCAACAGCCTGTGTAGGCTACACGGGGGACCTCTATGTGTATGTGTTTTTAATATAAAGTCATGATTATAATTGCTTATTTTTATACAGGTTGCTGCGTACAGCCTCTGGAGCCTGGGTATTTAAATGAAAGCAATGTGTGTTGTCATAAGGCCAGATGCATTTTTTGAATTGGAAATCCTGTTGCATGTGGTCGTAAAACTACACCCGTGTACGAAGTAAAGATGTGAACTCAGGCTCTTGTAGTTATATTGTGTGGCCATCTCGCGTTCCAGTCTCATCCAGGTCAATTGGGAGGAGCAGAGTCACCATTATACCATTCCCAATTTTCCACCTGCCTTTAAAAAAAATCGTAAGTTGTTCACACGTGGCAGTCCTGGCGTGAATGCCAGTGGTGTGATCATTATTTCAGAGTATAGGTCTCATTTTGGTCCCTGGATTGAGTTGATACTCAAGAGATCGATGCGAGTCTTCCATATCTGCCAGTGGATTACAAGTCCACGACCAATAGGGTTAATGTTTGTTTTTGCTCACTGAGAGCAGTTGTGTGCCAGAAAGAACAAGGTAATGTGGCTCTAGAAAGGGTCAGATTCTAGAGCAGGGGAAGAGAGGTCACAGTGGCAGACGAAGTGGCATGAATATGCTCTTAAGGAAGTCCACTTTGAGCCTACTATGATGCAAGGGATGGACAAGTCAGATTCGCAGAGCAGGGAAGTTAATACGATGGATGTGTGGCAGTAGTTGAAAGTTGGTGCATTCCACCTGTAACCCAGCACTGTGGTGGCAAGGCATGGTGGATCGCACACGTGTTGCGAAACACCCTTTCCATGGGCATTGCGGTGACCCATACTCTGGCTTGCCAGGATAATGGAAGGACAGCAAATGTGGACTTCCCATCCGTGTGCGGGAGGAGTGTTGACCACCTCATTACGCGTGTGGTTTTCTCTGGTTGCTTTGGTTTCCTCCTACATCAACGGAGTTGGGTTCATCAAACACATTTAGCCAGAACAAAACTCAACACATGATTCAATAAGTGCCGTAAAAGATGAAGAAATATTGTTTAATAGGCGACGTTTATGGGCAATGGCCCTTCTATATAGCTCATACATACAGGGGACAGAGATAAGAGTGGATAATGTGAGTTTGAGACAGCACTAAACACCATTGGGCACGATGACAACTATAAGAATGTTTTCTAATGACCATGTTTTTTAATCGGCATGTAAATAGTTAGCTCATTCTAGCTATTGGGTAACAGAGGGCCCCACCGAGCTTTGGTTCTGACTGCCTTCCCGCTTGCCTGTGGTTTTCTGCGCCTCTGAATCTACGGAATCTGTGCGCATTACACATTTGCAACTTTAACTATTTTTTTTACCATTTGACTGACGTGGAAGGAGATTGGAAACTCGGAAGGAGGTGGCCTCAGGAGGGAAAATTAGTAGCTTGTGGTGGTGGTGGTGGTCCAGTCACGTGATATTACTGGTGATTAGAACTGACTATACATTCAACCAGATTCCAGTTATTCTTGGCATCCATCAGTCGCTCCTACCCAGTCTCCTCACCCCGATGGACACTCGACCTACTGGTGGACGTGGTGTTGAAGATCACGAGGTCGCGAGATTGTTGAGTGGGAGATGAAATTAGAAGGGAGGGATCCATGGAGTTCAAGAGTGACTTGTGTGTTTGCGTGTAGAACTCTTGTCACACCGTACGTAGCCATCCGTGCTAATCAGAGGTGCGGGGGAAGGACAATTGATGAATCGTCAGCTTGGATGTCAACATCACCAGTGAGTAGAGGGGGGAGGCCTAAGATTGAAGTGAGGTGAGAAAAGTATGGCATGAGGTGTGAGTTTGGCTGATGGTAGATGGCTGTTTTTGGCTGGAGCACTGTTGGAGGTGGTGGGAGAGAAATGCTCTAAAGAGTTAACAATTTGTAAATTTACGGTAAATAATTTAAAGTGAGGTGTGGTAGTGACAGCCATTCCTTCGCTTATGCATTCGAGTATACACAATATGCACATATGTGTATCGATGTATATTCACGTGTGTATTCATTTGTGCGTTAGGGCGCACACATTGCATATGCATGCATTGTGACGTCTCTGTATATGTGCAGCATTGGTTCAGTACAAGCAAACTGGACTGGTTTTGACATTCGTTGTTATTTATTTTGTCTATATATGCATTTGTATGCAGTGAGGAGTGTATACACAGGCCTTGTACATGTGCATAGTGATTTGCCTTTGTGTATGTTACATGTCATGTATGCATCTGTTGGCTTAAAAAAGACTAAACCACAGTATTTCCCAAATAAGGCCATTTTCACGACAACATTGTGAACTTTCTTTCCTCTCGGTTACACGACACATACCGTTGTGAATTTGTACTGAATCTGTTATGTATAAAGAATACAAATATCTTAAGTGTATGTATACGTGTGTTATATGTATGTATTTCTCTCGTTATGCGAATATGTGAATCATCTGTGTGTCGCCTTAAGTAATACCTATACGTGTAATGATTTTCATTTTTACATGTAATTATTATGCATAGGTATAGTATTTGTCTTTTCTAAATGCAAATCTGTGTGTACCCTGTATGTACGTGATTTGTGCACTGTGTGTACATATCTGTGTCAACATATGTGTACTATACTGTCCTGAAATTCTATTCACACGATGCATTAAATATGCATCATGTGAATATCATACACAGGTACATGCACTGCACGCATACCACCGTATAGACGTGCGTTTTTTCGTGTCCTGTTAAATGCACAGCCATTTGCTCTCTCCGCTATCCCTTCTTTAACCAGACGGTGAAACAGACCCATTAAGATACATGAAACAACATTGCCTGTTTTACAAGGGTGGACCTGGGGGTCATGTCCGGTGAATTTCCCTCGCTTGCAATTGCACCGTCTCGTCTTGTGCCCATCCTTCTTGCCCAATCCTCCCATTTGCTCCACGTTTTTTTTTCTTCCTCCGTTTTTCTCCCGCCTTCCCCCTTCTCCACGGCCGACCCAACATTTTCTTTTTTTTTTACAATTCCCCACAGGCCGAAGAGACAGGCGAAGGCTCTGTTTGAGGAGGCATACTGGGACTGCAGCGTGTGCACGTTCAGGAACAGGGCGGAGGCGTTCAAGTGCAGCATCTGCGACGTGCGGAAAGGCACGTCCACACGGTGAGAAATTGATAACTTTTGCCTTCTGCTTCCAACCCCCTCCTCCTGTGTGAGCTGGTGAATTTTCTCGCGTGGAGCTGCCTTGTGTCGACGGTGTACTGCAATATGTTGTGCAAGTACCGGCACTCCACGAGATACAAATGTCCTGACTTGCGAACATCCGCACTTGCGAACGAACCGCCGTAAGATGTTGTTATTTGTAACCTCCGTACTTACGAACCGAACCGCGGGACTATTTTGTTCTGCGGATTGATCCTCGGCGAGATGTAAATAGTCCCAGCATCCTGCGCCCTTGCGACAAGCAAGGCAGCATCAGGGCTCAAGGTAAGTGAAAATATAATCGATTTATTTATTTTCATGGTACTATATTTTATGTTTTATTTACACTACAGTATATATTACAGTATTATATACAAATGTACAATCTTTCTTATTTAACAATGCGTTTGTTGAACCATAACACATTTTATAACACTGACCGTACTTTCATTTAAATATTGAGTTGCGAGATACGAACACATCGACTTACGAAACGGGTCTCGGGAACATAACCCGTTTGTAAGTCGAGGACTGTCTGTATATTCCTTCTTCTGAGTAGTCTAGGCATTAGCACACTACGAACCGAGCCAGTTAATTCATCATCATCATCGTCATGGTCAGTCAAGGTATGCCATCTGCTTAAAAGTGGGCATTACGGATCGGGCAACAGATGGCAAGCATTGATTTCAATAACCAAAGTAAATGACTGATCAGTTTCGGGTATTCAATAATTCATGGATTCTCAGCATGCTAAGAACATTCATGTCGCTTTCCAATGTTTGAGGTCAATGTGTGCTACCTGCTATGACATATGGTTCAGAAACACGGTCATTCACGAAAGATGTAGAACAAAAGAGAGAAATGTGCATAGAAGCGTGATTGTATTTATTGACAGAAAAAAAATAATAAATAGATTAGAGAATACATGCATATGAATTACATCATCTGAAGTATGTTGAAAAGTGGACTCAGGAGGCAGGAGATGTCAGAATCTGAATATTTATCCTGGAGAAATCAGATGAACTATAAAGCTCTTTTTCACAAGTGTCCAGTCAGGAAAGGTCAGAACGGTACAACAACAAACAATACAAAACACGATAGGAGTGCAAAGTATAGAAAATGTAATAAAATCACTTACAAATATACAAATACAATACAACTACAATGGTACCTCTGTATACGTCATTAATTAGTTCCAGAAGGTAGGACTTATACCGAAACTGACGGATACCAAATGAATTTTTCCCATAAGAAATAAAGGGCAAGGAAATAATCCGTTCCAAAGTATAAGAAATAATATTTTATATGGCATATTATACATTAATGGGGTTGTATTAAATAATTTAGACACTAATTACTAAAATGCATACATAAATGAAAATAAATGGATAAATAAATAAAATGTTTTTACGTCACTTTACTTTGCTGAGAGGAGTTGATAGCCTACGAGGATGGTGGTGAGGAAGGGGAGGAGTTGTGAACGGGGTAGACGCGGGTACGCGGTGACTCATCCCGACCCATACAAGTTCGAGCAAGCGCGTCGTATCCCAAGCAAGGCGTCGTATCCCAAGATGTGTTTTTCTCGTCAAAACACGACGCGTACCAAATTCGACGTATTCTAAAGCGGTCGTATACCGAGGTATGACTGTATTTTTCAGAAGCGACCTGGCCACAAATGAAAGCCCATCAAAAAGTGGCTTATTATCTGGAAATGTTAAAAGCAGTAAAATAAAATAAATAATCACGAGAAGAGAAACGATGGTCAATAATAAGAACAGTGGTAGCAACCATGGCATGGAACACGTCCAAGAGGATGTCTAGCGAGTAGATATAGCGATGAAATAGTTTGTGGCCAGGTGTTGGACGGAGTTTTGCATCGCAAGCTCTTAACAGGTGGTGGTGTAACAGCTTGGGGAGAGGCCTTCATCCAGCAGAAGATTTGTCATGGCTTATAATGATATCTAAATTTACATTGCAAGCTGGTCATATTGTTTGTTCAAGAGCACACAAATCTAGTTACACGAAAACACAAACCAGGGAAGTTCCCAACTGCTTTCGCCTTGTTCAGCCACATCTACTTCCCTCCCAACTTAACCAAGGTTTGAGAGTCCTCTTGCCTTGGATAAGTTGTCCAGACGGATGTTGAAACTGAAGTCTGCTTGTACAAAGTTTGTTTCGGAACCTGCAAAACTATCTCCAAATGAATCAAATTGCAGCAGCCCAGACTTCCCACCTTGCATCCGTAATCATAACCACATCACCCCCACTCCACAGATCCCTCCACTGGCTGCTTACGAAATTCTTTAACACATTCCTGCGGAGGGAGCTGGTAGGAACGTTGGGTTGCTCGGTCAATGGCCAGGGTCAACGGCGGCGTGGTGTATTCCGCAAATATGCCCGACTGACGGGCGGGCACAAGCCGGCGTGAGTAGGTTAAACGTTTAGTTTTATAAGGGCACCACGGGGTGACCAGCCCCTCCCCACCCAGCCCCACCCCTCCCACCCCCCACCCAGCCCCACCCTCCCCACCCAGCCCCTCCCCACCCTCCCCACCCAGCCCCTCCCCACCCTCCCCTCTCCACCCAGCCCCACCCCTCTCATTTTTGGATGTACGACGGACGGACACAATAATCTCCTGTGGGCTGGTGGAACCAGGAGGTTCCTACCAGTATCAGTTAAAGGACTGCCTTTACCCCCTTCAAGATCTTCCCCTGGACTTGCCTCTGCCAACTACTCCCATGACATCTTTCCCTGCTTCCCCTCGTGTGCTCGCTGTGCCAGGCACCAAAGCCTTTAGTCAATAACCCCCAGTGAACCTCTGCTGTGTGGGTGGGTGGTGGCATCTTCTCGGCTGTGAGCTGTGCTGTCTAGAAATCCCTTCCCCAGTTGTCCACTCTGGCAACTTTTGTAAACCTGTTCAAGTCAAAACCTAAGGCATCTTTTGCTCTTATTATGACTCTTCGATTTAAGTATCTTACACAGCACCGTACCATATGATAATATTCCTGTTTGTCCTGTGGTATCCTACCTCCAATTTTGTACAGCATTTTGAGATGCAGTCACATTTGGAAGCCCTACAGATCACGTTTGTATTGTAAAAACTCAAATATCAGTCAATAATGGCCGTTCTTCGTAACATAGAACCCTTTTTCACTTGTAGAGATTGATCTCTAAAGAAGGGCTGTTGCCCGAAACGTTACCCATTTATATATTTTAGGGGGCAGTGTTATTGACAACAAATGTGTTGACTTGTTGCCATCTGTACCCCCTCACAACTCAGAACCGACAAACTAATGTTGTTCCATGTTGCGTTGTGCCTGCCTGCTGTGGCCGCAGGAAGCCCCGACTTAATTCACAGCTCGTCGCCCAGCAGGTGGCTCAGAAGTTCAGTGTTCCCACCAAGAAGGAGAAGAGGGAGCGCGGTGAGAAAGAGAAGCTGGACAAAGACAGAGAGGCGTCTTCCAGCACAAGCAAGAGGAATCTGAACAAAAAAACAAGGTATTATTACGGTTGATGCCTGTTGATGTTTCCCAACTGGTCACGCTGAGGACTGGTGTCTCCATTGAGAAGTGATCCCCTTATGACAGCCAGTCCTCCCACCGTTTCCAGCAATTCCCCCCCCCGCTATAGGTTTCCACGTGCGTTGTTCCGCGTATACGTTTGCTGACTAATTGGGGGAACGTATTTCCTTGCAAGTGTAATGTTTCACATATGCATTGCTTTTAAAAATTGCGCAAAAGTTTTTGCGCATTTTTTTTTTCACGCCGTGAAAACGGTCTACTTTGCGATGTAATACAGTACTGTCCGTGCGAAGTTCGTACCGTGGAAAATCACTCGATCACGTGCCTCCATCTGCCAGCCCCCGCCATTTCGTGCGTTCATTGTACACGTGTTATGTAGCCATACTGTGTAGCATCACGTGATTGTTTAAATAAAGTAGAGTAAAAGTACAGCACTTTACCATCCGGAATGCTCCATTAACCGGCGTCTGTCATAGATGGCAATACTAATCGTCCTTCACGTATCCGGAAACAATTCCCATAGCCATCCGGCATCTTGCCATGCGGTTCTCACAGATCTGTTGTTTTTTATGGAAGCTTCAGGATGCTGCCGAGTGGTAGCGCTAGCGACAGTCTGTACATACAGTACTGTACCATTGTATACTGTACTCTAAATTGCCCCACTGCTTCTCTACAATCAACTTAGAATGCTCTGCAACTGACTGCTAAGTACCCCTGTAATTCTCATATTATAGTTAAAATGTAAGCTTAGTTTCTGTCTTGAAAAGTTGAATGTTACTTGAAAAATGTGGTGAACCATGAGTATAACTCTCCGATAACCGGCATATTTGATTTACCGTCATCCTCCATCCTCATGAATGCCGGATAACAGAGCTTTTCCTGCATAAAGGACAGTACGAGATGAGTTCAAAAGCGCCACAGTAGATGATGATAGCGCCTCTGGCAAGGAAAATTTCAAAGAAAAAGTATTAATCTCGAGGTTAAATTCGACGTTTTAGTGTATTTTCTATATTGCTACAAAGCTTGGTCTACCCACGACCTCGGTGAGATCTATTTGAGTTAACGCAGGAAACGTTCTAGAATGTGCTAGAAATGTGGCACCTTTAACTGCCGCCAAAATGACTCGTCGAACAGTTGTGGGATTGTCGAAAATATGGAAAGGCTTTTAAAGTGTCACAATTGTAGATCAAATCAGTCGCTTCTGGACCATCTGTGGTAAGTATTTGTATCAAATTGTTTGTATCTATCATGAGTTAAAATGTATGCAAACTTATACTAATATGCATTTTTGCGCACTTGATGACACTTAGTCACGCATTTTCTTTACCAGAAATGTCAGCTAGGGAGTCGACCCATTATTATAATATTATTTACATGGGAAATTATAGTTAGCTTCAAGTAATTTCGAGTTGAGTATCATTTCCCTGGAACGCATCACTTATGTATAGCGATGGATTCCTATACTCGCATCAATGCGTTGGTTTCGTTGTAGTGTCCGGATTATAACCAAGGCTTTTGCATTTGTTCAATATAGCTCATGTTCAGGTTGATGTCTGATGTTTTCACTCCACGTGCTGTGGGAGCTTCTTTAGAATGCTTCTTTCTTTTATAGTGCCTGAAGAAGCTTCCAGGATGTGGAGCGAAACATCGGACATCATTGCAGAATGACTCGCGATTTAACCCGGAAAGCCATTGGAGAGATAAAGTTTTGACTAGATGACATCTGCCACTTGTAGCTATTTTGCCTTCTAATATTCACTTTTATACAAAATGCATTTATCTGACTGTTAACAGGTAGTATGAAACAAAATGTAGAAGATTATATATACATTTTTTTTCATCAATCTTATCAGTATTCAAAACAATCTTTAATCAAGTAAATGGCCGATTTAAAACAACTTATTTGAAACCAACTAAAAATCTAACAACATTATTATGTAGTTGGTCGCGTGCGTACTAAACAAAGTACTGGCATGTACATCACAACACTACTGTGTTGTAAACTTGTTGATAGCTGATGACATGACAACATGACAATGTAAATGTTTATCCATGGGCGGCGGAGGCGTTTTAACGTTGAAATACATTCACAAGTTAAGATCGCTTGTCTCACATGCTAATGTTTATCTTTCGCCTAAGGAAGTGGTGCCCCCCCCTCATTGTTCAGCTCGGCAGGTTGCAGGTCATCCTCAGACTAAAGAAGAAGTGAGCCCTCTGTGTGAACAGCACGTTGTCATCACTGTGGTTTTAAGTGCTTAAAAAGGGAACTGAGGGTAACACTGCCGGGGCTCATTGTGCAAAAAAAAGTTTGTGTACATTTGCATTCTGGCAACGAAAACGTCAGGATGGCATGTTCCTACCCGACTATGCATGGCTGCAGCCACCACTGCAAACACGTGTTCTCTCACATTCATTGTACTTACTGCTTGGCATTGATGCCACGGTTCAATGTGCCACGGTATCACGTTTTTTTTATCCATAATGATGAGGGCGGGGTGAGTTGCTTCTCTTGGTGAATCATTCTATCCACAATTATCGGTAACTAAAATTAATAAAAATAATAGGAATTAAAATATCATTTTTTTCATGTTATTTCTATTATTATTTCTATTATTTTTATTATTATTTTTTACCTACGTGACTTTACCGAAAAAACCTGAGAGTATGAATCCTTGCAGTCACGAAAGCTTCAAATCTAGAACAAAAATTAATCCTATCTACCACAACATTTGTGGGTAAACGTGGAGAATCCAGTGCATGCGCTACACATCTTATCTTACCCACGAAATAATTGTGAATGGTGGATAACAACGCACTTCCTGGTGGCATCTTCTGGGTCTGCTGTCTGCGGATTAACACCGTGCACCTGTCCAAGCCCTCGTGTAATAGGAAGAGTAGCAGCACACCCATATGCTTTGGCGACAGACCAATCTATCATTTTCTAGTTTTATTACACGTTGTTATTTCTGCAGGGCATTTGGCAATTCTGATGAAACACCCCTCAGTGTATATTTAACTTAGGTCGTATTGACATTAATACGTGTACTGTGGCACCACTTGTAAATACTGTTTACACTGCTATTCTATTAAGGTAGATATATGCAACTGATAGTGCAAAGTAATCACATTTTTTAAAAGTTAACAATGGATGAAGATTGTTATCTTGTAATTACAATTGATGCGATGTCTTCAGTTGATTGTCAGATGATGTCAAGCTAGATTTGCACAAATGTACCATGTATTTCCATTGATCTAAGTCACTGTTCCCTTGCACAACCGAGCTTTTGGCAGTACTCGTCTTCAGTGGTTGGTGCCAAATCAAGTCGAAAAATTGCACAATCTTATCGTTAAGGGATGGGCTCTCCATTTTGACAACCGATCTTGATTTTTTTGACAGCCAACTAAAAATTGTGATTTGTTTTGTCCGTGACGACGGATGAGAGTACGCTGAGCCTTTTTTTTTTTGTCAACCGACAAATGAGGAATTGCCGCTACAGAAAGATCCATGTTGACACCATCCGAGCGATTGCGCGTTTCCAGAGGTTTGCGGTTCGATTCCCAGCTCGTGGTAATGCGCGCCGTTAGCGGTGGACATTGGTGTCGTTGGACAATGCTGGTGTCGTCCAGATTTGTCAAATGGAAGAGAGATAACCAAAAAAACAACTTACAATTTACTCAGTTGGAATATACATCGTACCCCCTCCCCCCGAACTTCTGTCAAAACATGGAACGACCCTTCTGAAAAAGAATAATGGCACTCGGTGAGGTTTTCCCCGGGTAAACTTGCGTAGTAGTCGTGGTAATAATAATACGATCACAATCATCGGTGTACCATCATCGGTGTACAATTTCACCCTCTGTCGCAATGGGTTAAGTAAGGCACCGATGTGGGTGTCCTCAATGTATAGCTCAAGCAGAACAGACAAACCTGGGGGCTTGCCTAGAGGTAGAGAATTGTTTTGAAACTCAGCTAATGGAGTTTGGAGAGGGGAGTGTTTATAAGGTATATCTACAAAACCACACATGTTATACGTGTCGTATCACTTGCTTGTGGGTGTATTTGCACACGTGTAAGAATGCAAATGGGTCATCCTTGTAATTAAGTGGATGTTTAAATTTCAGACTGATGATTTCAGACTGATGACCGACTCTCTCTTTGCTTAATCTGAAGCGACTTATCATCATGAGCTGTGTATATCCACTGCTGGATGAATGTCTCCCCACATCATCATCCCACATGGTCCTGTGATGCATTTCCTAAAGAGAGGAAGAGTTGTACTTCAGGGAAGCGTTGCCTGGATAACTATTAAGGTCCTGAAACTATCTGTAAGTTTAAGATGATTACATTTTTTTCTTCCTGCAACAGGCCATGAAGATTCTATGAATAGCTAAATCAACTACGATATGATACAATTGGTAAATTCATTGCAACGCCAGTTAAAATATTTAGGGGGTGAGATGATTATTGGTGAATTTGGTAGTGCCGCGGTGGTGAAATGTTTTCTCCCTCGCCTGGTATGGAGGAGATTGTGGGTTCGGTCCTGACCCTGATGCCTGTGTATATGGAGTGTGCATGTTTTCCTTGTGGTCGTGTGGAATTTTTATCCAGGTCCTCCAGTTTTTCCCTCGACTTTTCCCTCCACATTTAGAATCAACACGTGTTCAGAGTATTTGGCTGCTATGAATGTTCACATGATAAGCCACTTGGTTGAACTATCACTTGTGGCCAGGTCGCTTCTGGAAACGAGCTATATAGATCAGTGGGCCTTACCTGGTAAAAATAAAAATAGTTTAATTCTTGACTTAAAGCTTTCGTGACTGCAGGAATTCATATTCTTGAGTCTTTCCGTAAAGTCACATAGATAGGTAATTTTTTTTTGTTATTTTCTTTGAACCTATCTACGTGACTTTACCGAAAGACCCAAGAGTAAAAAATAGTTTAGTTTAAAAATGAGGGAAAAAATGTGAACTGGAATTCCCAATCACTAGGGCTGTGAAGATAACAAGCGCCTGTATGGAGGCGGCTGCATCGCGACATTTATAAATTAAAGTGACTTAATTTTCACGAAAAATCACACCACGTTGTCAGGGACGTCTCTCACCTTAGCAAATTCAACACGGCAAACGATCGCAGGCCGGTGCGATGCACGTTACATTTTAACATTGGCAAAGAATGAACAGAGCTAATTAAAGGCGAGACTAGGACAACGTCAAACATCTAGTTTTCAGGAGGTAGGGGAATTTCAACTCATTATCAGCAACAGATTGAACTCCTTAGAGAAGCAGAATGATGAAATGGATGTCACTTTCAAAATTGAGATCGCTAACCTTGTGATGTGCACTAAAAGTGGGTGGTTCATGTAGAAAGCTAGTAGGACTAGGTATCTGAAAGCTTAAAGAATGCATTCAATAAGGCGGTAAATAATAGCAGGATGAATATGCTGAATAAAATGGAATACAGTAGAACTCTGTAAAACCATACTCTTAGGTTTTTTCGGTAAAGTCACGTAGGTAAAAATAAATAATGAAAATAATAGAAGTAATAATAAAAATAATAGAAATAAAATAATAAATCACGACGTTTCGGAGGCAACACAAGTATCCGTCATCAGGTGGGACCGTCACAGATACATTTACTGTATCAAGTGAGGCAAAATTCCAAGAGACAAGCCCTTAAATACAAGTTAAGGGGGTGGGGGAGAGGGGCTTATCTGAATGTGGTAGCCAGGGAATGGGACGTGTTGGGGGGGTGGGCGGGGCTACAAGAGAACAATCGGTGCACCTCGACTTTGGGTTGTAACCGGTGTTGGCTGATAATCCAAATACAACCACTGAGAAAAGAATGAGGAAAGAAAGATTGTGAACTACCAAAATGGTTGAAGATGTAATAACCAAACAGGTCACGAATATTGTAACAAGGAGGTTTATTGATACAGATCATGTAGTGACTATTATGGAGAGGCACACGTGATGGACATGTGCCACGGTAGAATTTTTTTTATCCATAATGATGAGGGCGGGGAGTTGGTTCTCTTGGTGAATAATTCTATCCACAATTATCGGTAAAAATAAATCCTATCTACCACAACATTTATGGATAAACATGGATAATCCAGTGCATGCGCTACGCATCTTATCTTACCCGCAAAATAATTGTGAATGGTGGATAACAACGTACTTCCTGGTGGCATCTTCTGGGTCTGCTGTCTGCGGATTAACACCAATCGTAGGAAGTATCGCGCATCTGTCCAAGCCCCACGTGTAATAGGAAAGAGTGGATAATAGGGTAGCGGATAAGACGAGTTTTACTCCACAGACTTAACGAGCCAAAGCGTGACGGAAGGGCCAAGTTGGTATTTAAACTCTGCAGTCTTCCAACTATCCGGCGGGCAAAGTCCCACTGCAGTCCCGCCTGGACCCAAGCGGTCCTTGCGTCGTCGCGCTCACGGTGCCGTTGTTGATTTCTTTTTTGCTCGCACCTATCTCGGGGCAGGCCCAAGCTGAAGAACATCGACAGGAGCAGTGGGCAGCAGCTCGCGGTCACCGTGGGCAACGTCACCGTCATCATCACCGACTTCAAGGAGAAGAAGCCCACGGCAGGTGCCGGCGCGGTGGCGACGGGCCCCAAGGGTCCGTCGGCGGGCGGGGCGGCCCGGGGCGGTTCGGAGAGGGGCGGCTCCAGCTCCGACAGCAACACGGAGAGAGATGAGCCCTCGCACCCGACCTCGCCGCAGAGGGACGAGTCGCTGAGCGGAGACTCGCACTGAAGCGGCGGTGGAGGTGGCGGTGTTAGGGGGAGGGGGGTGGCGAGCGTAGGAATCCGTCGCAGATTGATTTGCGTGCTGTGAAGTCTCTTTAAAGTGCTCGGAGAGTGGCGAAATTTCAATTTGGCTTCTTTTTGGCAGGCCCAAAAATAGTGCCGTGTTTTTATCGCTGTATGCATTTGCACCGGAACTACACTGAGAATCAGTTTTTATAGCCGAGGTAAATGTGTGCCTTGGTCAACCATATTTTTTCCCAACTTCTAAAACCTTATAAAATGCTGCGTAAGCATATCTTATACCAGCAGTGTTTTTTTTTTTCCATAGGCTGTATCACGCCGACTTTTCAGTGTACAGAAATTTAAGGTCAATTCACCAATGAACTTGTATATGCCACATTTCACTGTGATAAACCTCAGCACAAACATTGGGTGCTGATGCGCCAAAACTTATCTGACATTAGAGACTGTCAAACAAAAAGTTAGTAGTTAATTTAGAGCAATAAGTGCTTTCAAAATAGAAACAAATGTAAAATCTGTTGGTGCTAATGTTTTGGCCTCAAAAAAAATGTACGTGTTTATTTATACATAAACAATGGAGCTGAACCTTTTTTACTTTAATAACATACGTGTCATTTTAGTATAACAAGTGAATAGTAGTAGCTCTACAGCACACACTGGCACTGCAAATAATCTGCATTGCTCAGTAAGTACAAAGCTTCTATTCAATTTGGCTGTGTAAAAGACAATGGCGTTTTTACAATACAGTACAGGGATTTCAGACGGTTAACTTTATATATTGCTGTCCGTAAACAGTTGTTTTTCTCTATTGCGGTTGTCCCTTTCCAATGCGTGGCAAGAATACGTTTGTGGTGCCTTGTGTTTGTACATACTACATCGGTGGCTGTATCGTGGTGTGCGCTTCTGTGCTATTGGCTGTGCCAGCTGCTATGCGAGACGTTTTTTTTCGGCCATGGCACTGGCATTTAAATGTGGGGAGGGCTTGCTTGCCGCATATAATTTGAACATGTTCTCATGATCTAATCGAGTGCAGCACATATTCGGCCTGGCAAGTGAGAGCACATTGACACTTGCCCAATTAACTATTTGTATCTGGGATATGATTAAGCCATAGGTGTGCACTCCACAATGTCGGTGTGATTATCAGAAAGATAATGAACCCTGCCAAATGCACATGGTTCTGTAAAATCTTTGCTGCCCAGTTTGTTACGGACACTCGCTTAACATTCGGTTTTTGGAGTTTAATTTATTATATCTGCATCAATTTGCGTGCGAGTTGAACCGCACGCTCCCCTTAGCGTACGTCGCCGTACAAGCGACAGCGTCACACCGAGCTTGTAAAGCGCAATCTTGGCACGGTTTTTGTGAAATCTAGACCACAGATTGAATTGTGAGGTTCCCATCATGCGAATTGCATCCTTCAGGCTGTAAGGGGGTCTTGGATCGGTGTGGTGGTTTGTGGGGTTCACACAAGGGCGAGATTGAATCGGCCTTCATGTTGGGACTGCCGAGTTGTGAACAAACGCAGTCACACTCCACACACCGATGCATAATCTGTTCAATATGACGGGAGCTAAACACATTTTCTCACTCACTTCATGGTCGAGGGTGAGAAGGATCTGCGTGGAATGTGCTGTATGGCCAACCGTTATTAGGAAAACACAATCCCTGAAAAGGACTGAGAAATAAACAAAAATTAAAACTGTACTATCATCGAAAATAATGGCAAGAGCTCAATGTAGCTCACCTCTCCATATGCTGTGGGACACTGGCATTCTGTTAGCTCAGCATAGTAGTTGGCACCTTCATTGCTTGGAATAAACTTGATGGAACTTGAATGGAATGAAAGTACTCTATAGATATACTTAAATATATACCTATATTAGAAATTATTGTGCAAATTCGAATACATATATATATTGTAGTCTGTTGCTTTGTATTTCAGCTATGCATTCAAATATTCTTGATTCTGTAACAGTGCCTCTACGGCAAGTTTGTTAGTGTTTTACCTGTTAACTATTGGTGTTGAGAAGAAAAAAAAAACCGTAACATTGTATTAAATCTTGCAGCCCTTGAGGAAAGCAATTGCTAAAGGTGAAGATGCAGAGTTTTAATATAAATATTTCTGGTTCGTCTAAAATCTCAATCATAGTGTAGTTTTAAATGAAAGCCTTTCCAATGCCACTTGGCGTAAACCAGACCTGTCATTATCAATTTAAACGATGGAACAATAAAATTAAATAATAGCCCTACTGTGAAATCGTAACTCACAAGAAAAAACACACATTAATGTGATCCCTTGCATATTTATTGGTGCTAGTGCAAAAGCATGCCTCATGTAAAACCGATATTGTGGTATGTTTTATGTGTGTAGTCGTTTAAGCCCTCGTTAATATCCACATCAATCGTGCCCCTGTTGTACTTAAAGCACTTACACGTGGCTAAATTAATTTCGGTAATTGTTTTGTGTCTTATGAGAGACTAATTATTGCCGTGCATATGTGTGCATGTGTGTTTGCGTGTGCTGTACCGTATGTGCACAATACAATACTTTTGTTGTGACGAAACATAACCGAGTATGTTATGGCAAGACGCGTACATGACGGGGAAAAATAAAATGCGTCTGTAATAATCAATGACTGATAATTTACAATGATGCATTATGGAATTTATTGTGACTATCAGTATGCAAATACGATTACAATGAGTGTGTGTGTGCGCGCATGCATATAAATGTACACAGTAATACCACGACTTGCCAGATTTTTTGGCATTTCCGCACCTCAGATTAGGTCGGCTCTGTACTGCGTGAAAGAAGTTCAGCATGTATGCGTACATACATTTAGCCGGACCAATGCCAGACAAATGACGAACTCATTTGGTGCACGTAACGATGCTCCCAGGGCACCAGGCTTGCAGGCAATGCAGGTCCACAGTTGCTGTGGCCCAGACGGTATTGCCACTGTGTGTATACTGTTGAGCTCCCTGTAATGCCCGCGACCTCTTGTTTTCTTGCTTTCGGCCCTTCATTGCTTTGCCTTCCTTCGGATTATCTCGCCTTCTGTTACAGTGCTTGGATGTTGCCTCGCCTTCTCTCATTGTGCGCGTTGACTGCTTGTGTCTTGTCGGAGTTGCGATACGCACAGTACATTCATTATAGCACAGTCGGTTTTTTTTTCCTTCTATATACATGTATTTTCTTTTACGGTCGAGTAAATGTATTTAAAAAGAAATTATTTCAAATAATTTTAGTCGCTGTATGTTTTTAACGGTAGGTTTTATTTCGAGGGTTATTTCATTATTGTCGCATGATTTTGATTATTTTTTTGCAGCAGGCTGGACCGAGGCTCCCCCCCCCCCCCCGCCGCTTTATTAGTCTGCATATCGATCAACAGCCGTGATGCTACACAACCCAAAATAAGAGGTTTCGCTTCATGCGCTAAGATGCAGCAAAGCAGAAACGGCACGTAAGGAGGCAGCTGCCTGCTGAGGAGCGCACAAAGTAGACACACAACGCTGTCCCACGTTCCCACCACATCGCCGCAATGTCGAGTGAATGCAAACCGCACGGAGCGGAAATGTTGCGTAGAAGTAGGTTCGGAGCGCGAGATCGCACAAGTCGAACCCGCGTCGAGTGAGAGAAACCTGTATCTCGCGAAATTTAAGTGGCACATTTTAAAAATAGAATGTAGGACAGCGGTTAGGTGGTTTGATTCGCCGCGAAATTGCGTTTGAATAGAAGTTAGCTGCCCATGATAATAGCAGGTTCTCTAAAGTGATGGTCTGAGCCTAGTCACTCGTAACTACAACGACAACAAAACAAATGATTGCTTTGAACGTTTTGCTTATTTTTGGAAGAGTATTTTAACTTTTGAGAAATACACCAACTTTACTTGCCGTGTGATGAGAATTGTTTTTCTGTAGCACGGCGAGCTGGAAAGTTCAGCCCCCCCCCCACCCCCTAATTCTAGATTGGAAGCTTTCGTGACTGCAAGGAGTCATACTCTTAGGTTTTTTCGGTAAAGTCACGTAAGTAAAAAATAATAAAATAATAATAAATGAAAATAAATCTATTAAATCACGACGTTTCGGAGGCAACACAAGTCTCTGTTTTCAGGTGGGACCGTCACAGCTAAATTGATTTACCTGTTGTCTCAAAGAGGCCACGTTTGAGCACTAGTCCTGAGATGTCTCCTGAGATGTCTCCTCCTGGCTTTGGTCTACCAATAATTGTTGCACTGCTCTGCAAAAATCCCACAATGGATGGATACTTTGTCTCATGACATGACACCGATAGCATACATTGGAATCTCCTTCGAAAGACAGGAATGTTTGCAGTGACATGATCCAATCGCAGGGGTTATTTTTGAAAGTGTCTGTCCGTGCACGGCAGCTAAAAAGTAAAAACTTTGGAATTTGAATTCCTATTTCATTGCCTTTCATACACCTTTGATCAACGCACTAGTCACATTGCAAATGCAGAACTGTATTTTGGTCACTATAGTTCTACTGTTCATCTACTTTATATAGAATTTGCAACATTCTACAACGCACATGGCATTTTGAAAACACTTCCTCAGATACTTTATTTTCTTTGGTTGCATTAAATTATATTTCAAAAACGGAAGTGGTGTAACCAAGACGTAATTTCTCGATGGTTTCAGCAACGTGACTAGGCTGACTTGGAATAGGGATTATCAGCACTACAACGAGAGTACAAAAGTATGCCTGGCCTTGATAATTCTTCTATATGCCTATAATCCTATAAGCAGATTTATATATATAGAAAACATGCAGATAAGAGAAGGGCATATTAGCAGTGCTCTGGATTGGTCTGGCTCAAATTAAGCACCTGGGTGTAACTCTTGCATTATATAAGCCCTCTGCATGTAGCCAATAGCAAAATGCTATGCCATTACTTGCTGTGGACATGCATACATTACAGGCAACTTCAATACTTCAGATTATTATAAATATAAATTGTTCGTATGATCTCGTGTTTCAAATTCAGTACCAAAAAGCAGTTTGAAGAAAAATGTTCTTCAAAGTGACATTCATATCTGCATGTTTGTCAGCCTTAAGTATGTTAATGCATAACGTTTTGTGCTGACTTTTTGACAAATCATATATTGAGCTATTAAAATAATGTTTAATATTGTATTATTACTATTGTTATGCCATAATAAGCATATCAGAAAAAAACGTGGTTATCTTTCAGAATTTCCTGCGAATAAATGTCGATGCGTCATGTTTGACAAGATTGTTGTTGATGTAATCATATGGATGGACTGAATATTCTCGGTGGGTAGTTGACAAATACTTGAAATGTCTAAGTGGTGCTAGTACATATTACGTATTATACGTGGCTTGTTTTACACTTGTTTCACCTTTTATACTTTGTCTATTTGCATACATTAGCAAAAGTATTGGCTTATTCATTTGTCCTCTGACTCATTTTTGTATCATAAAGTATAATAAATTACACAATATTGCTTTTGGAGTGTTGCCATTTCCTCTCACAATATACAAGGTTTCATATTCTTGGTTCTTTCGGTAAAGTTACGTAGAAGGGAAATAAATATAATATAAAACAATTCTCACAAGCAATCATCAGCAATCATCATCAGCTGATGATGATTGCTTGTGTTGCAGTCGAAACGTCGTGAGAATTTTTATTGTTTTATATTTTTATTATTTTCTTATTTCCCTTCTACGTGACTTTACCGAAAGAACCAAGAAGATGAATCCCTGCAGTCACGAAAGCTTTAAATCAAAATTTACAGTGTGTTTAAAAAAGATGGACCCGAGTTCAAATCACTGTCTTTGAAATTGGGTCCATCTTTTTGAAACAGCCTGTATATTGCATGTGAATTATTGGGTTATTTGCCCTTAATATCCAATGTAGGTGTGTTATAAAATCGTATGCATTCATTGTTGGTACAGTCACATTAATTTCAGTAAGTTTATATGATTAAAGACTAGATCATAAAGCCTGTCTTTGCGAGGCAAAATATTTCAATAAATATAATAATTAACATCTGATTTTTTTAAAATTGTCTACAATCAGACGAAACTTCTCCAAAAATGTGTTTTTTCGCAACAAAAAACAAAATAGTTGATTACTTGTTTCAACTTCTTACATTTAAAGGCGTGCTCATCGGAAACGGATCAATTAAAAAATTCCGTTCCTTTTTATTAGAAAGAACAAAACAATGAATTTAATACTCTATGAGGGGAAGCTCCTATCTTTTTCAATTTTCGAATTCAAATACACATTAAATGCGTATTTGTTTCGTTCAAACTCGCTTTAACGCTCTATAAAACTAAAAAACCCGCAATCTTATCTTTTGAATGGTTTCTGAATGACACGCACAAACATTTTTACGGGGCATTTTAAAATGGAGATTTGGGAGCCTTAAAATAAAAAAAAAATCTAATTTTCAGATTTTTCTGTTTGTGTCCTATGTACCAAACGTCAGCTTTCTACCTTGTCGGGAAATACCCTAAAGGTTTTTGAGACAGATTACGGTCTTGATTAAAATAGAAGATATACACGGAAATGGCGTGGAGTGGTGACTTGCTGTGGTTCGCGCACTCTGCTGTGAAATTGACCTGCTTTCCGATTTCCACCAGCGGCTAGCACCAGTGGTGAGTGATATCTGTACCCGTCCTACCCACACCCCACACAAACCTGACGTGACCAGCATGGTGAAGTATGATCATGCAAAAATTCACATCGCCAGCAAAGCACGGGGAGGCCTTCATCCAGCAGTCGACCGACTGAGGGCTGCAAATGATCATTAGGCATAGAATCAAGATATGATTAAACTTTGAATCAAGAACATTTTTCGTAATACATTTGTTACTGTGATTTTAAGAGAAAAAAATATTGACTTCATTTTATTTTACGAAGTATAATTATGCAAATAAGGATAGCCGTTGTTATTTAGTACCGGTGAACAGTAATTTTCCGTTTCTACAGTCAGAAGGTTCTACATGTGAACAGCTTCAGACGTTGACACTAATGGGTGACGATTCTAGATTTGAAGCTTTTGTGACTGCAAGGATTCATACTCTTAGGTTTTTTCGGAAAAGTCACGTAGGTGAAAAATAAAATTAAAAGTGAATACAATTAATAAAGTAATACATTTTATTAATTTTTAAAAAGTTAATAAAAAAAATAATAAATTAATAAATGTATCAATTTTATTAACTTTTAATTTTATTTTTTACCTACGTGACTTTTCCGAAAAAACTTAAGAGTAATGGGTGACGGGTTGAACATTTGCGCGTGTGGGACGCTTACAATCAACACGCTGTACAAAGCCACGGTGGTGTGTTTAAAATCGGTGTGAACTTCCAAATTGAGAGACATTAAATTGCAAGCGCGGTTTATTGCGCTTTGCTAATTTCCCCCCGCCCAAACCCCCCCCCCCCCCCCCACAAACACACAAACTCTGAACTTAAATTGACAGTGGCCAGCAAGAGAGGGCTCCTTTCGTGCGCATTTTAGTCTATCTCGTTTCCGGTGTTGGGCAATAAATTGGGCACCGAAATTGCAGCGTTGTCAAAATACGTCCAGACCATTTTTTTTTTGACGGGAAGTCAATGGATATAACGCGAAAACCAAAAATAAACTGCGCTAAGCATGTGCTGGGGAAGACGAAAAAATACATTTGCCACACCGTGCACTCGGGTGTTACAGGGGGGCAAAGGAAAGCGACGCGTTGAGAGCACGCTCGTGCACCCTGTGCCGTGCGTTAAAAACTCTTCCTCCAATGTATGCGCATGTCCGTGCCGGATTAAGCTAGTGCGGGGCCTGTAGCATATGTTATAAAGGGGCCCTAAATAAATAAACACAATTATAAAAAAACAAATATGTAACTTGCATAGTAAAGTAATTGTATTTTTTCATTTGCGACACAGCCAGATAATACGATAAATCGCTAACCTTAAACACCCAGTCGTTCATAAAAAGTTGAGGGCGGTATAGTACTATAGTAATAGAGCAAGTGCAGAATCACTGAACCGGAATTGATAGCTTAAAATAATTTATCGCGGGGCCCTTGAAAGTTGTGGGGGCCGTAGCATGTGTAGCTACTTTTGCTACTAGGATAATCCTACACTGGTGCATGTACGTATGTGCATAAGTTGAACTTTTTTCGCACCACACGTAGCCAACCGTGCTGATCGGAGATGCGGGGAAGTCGAAACAACCTGAGCACTAAAATCAGCTCTAAAGAAATAAGAAAAACGCGAGTGATGCGAGATGGAATTAATTCATTTTCTGAACAAAAACTAATCTTTTAACAATGTACATTTGTTTGTAAGTTAAGCTAAGTGTATTTTAAAAGCTATACAGCTGCCATCAGGAATAAGTAGTTTCTCAGCTGAACCTGGATGCCCCCTTCACCAACCCACGATGGCCAGTGGTGAGATGTGAACTCCCTCGCCTGGTATGCAGGAGGTCGTGGGATCCCAACCCTGACGCCTGCTGTATATTTGGAGTTTGCATGTCTCTCTCCCCGTGGTTGAATGGATTTTTTCTTTGGGCCCTCCGGTTTTCCCTCCACATATAGTAACATGCGTTTAGATTAGTTGGCTGCTATACATTTCCACATGACAAGACACTTCGTTGAGCTGTCAATTGTGGTCAGGTCGCTTCTTTAACAAGTAAACCCGTAAAAACAAAGTTTTTCACTCTAAATCCTTTATATGCGTGCCGGCTAGAGTCCTCTCGTCCTCTGGCTTGAGATGGCTGCAATCTATGGGTCAGATGATTGTCTGCCAGTTTTAAGCAATTGGTAATTAAATATTTCATTTGTTTTCCCTAAACAGTGTAAAATTTTGGAAAAAAAAATTCACGAAAATTAATTGTCACACACAACGAGTCTGTGTGAAAAATGTCAGCTCGATTGGATCACGGGAAGTGGGTTAAAAAACGAGCGAAAGATTTGCACGGTCCTAAGCAAGCAAGCGAACTTAATATAAAGGATTTAAAATATATTCGCCTGTGGAGGACGCGGGGATCGATCCAGCGACCTTTGGCATGGGAAGCGAGGGCACTACCAACTGCGCTACTCCGCCACGGCCTGTGGAGGGGTTACGCTCTGGGCTCCTATACTGTGACGTTCAGCCAAAGCCATGAATGAGTTCTATTTGAATATATGTAAAATAATTATTTTTTGCCTAAAAGTGTAAAATTTTGGGAATTTTTTTTCACGAACATTAATTGTCTGTCACAACGAGTCTGTGTGGAAAATGTCTGCTCGATTGGATTATGGGAAGTGGGTTGAAAAACGACCGAAAGATTTGCACGGTCGTAAGCAAGCAAGCAAGCACGCAAGCAAGCAAGCACGCAAGCAAGCAATCACGCAAGCAAGCAAGCACGCAAGCAAGCAAGCACGCACGCAAGCAAGCACGCACGCAAGCAAGCACGCAAGCAAGCAAGCACGCAAGCAAGCACGCAAGCAAGCAAGCACGCAAGCAAGCAAGCACGCAAGCAAGCAAGCAAGCACGCAAGCAAGCAAGCACGCAAGCAAGCAAGCAAGCACGCACGCAAGCGAACTTAATATTAAGGATTTAAAAAACGAGCGAAAGATTTGCACGGTCCTAAGCAAGCAAGCGAACTTAATATAAAGGATTTAAAATATATTCGCCTGTGGAGGACGCGGGGATCGATCCCGCGACCTTTGGCATGGGAAGCGAGGGCACTACCAACTGCGCTACTCCGCCACTGCCTGTGGAGGGGTTACGCTCTGGGCTCCTATACTGTGACGTTCAGCCAAAGCCATGAATGAGTTCTATTTGAATAAATGTAAAATAAATTTTTTTTTAGCCTAAAAAGTGTTAAATTTTTGATTTTTTTTTCACGAACATTAATTGTCTGTCACAACGAGTCTGTGTGGAAAATGTCAGCGCGATTGGATCACGGGAAGTGGGTTAAAAAACGACCGAAAGATTTGCACGGTCGTAAACAAGCAAGCAAGCATGCAAGCAAGCAAGCACGCAAGAAAGCAAGCAAGCGAACTTAATATAAAGGATTTAAAAAGAGCGATATAGCTGGGCCTTACCTGGTCAAATAAAACATAGATAGTTGAAGAATGATCAACCAAACCCTCTGAACGATTTGGCATGGGGAGGCCTTCATCCAGCAGGGGATTAAGAAAGGAATTCACATTTTTTTAGTATACACATAAAATGGTTCAATAAGTTCAGTGAAAAAAACTGTGAACTGAACACATTCCTGCGGTGGGAGCTGGTAGCAACGTTGGGTTGCCCCTCCCCACCCAGCCCCTTCCCACCCTCCCCACCCAGCCCCTCCCTCCCCACCCAGCCCATCCCTTAACGACGGACGGACGGACACAATAATCCCCTGTGGGCTGGTGTAACCAGGAGGTTCCTACCTGTACAAAGGAATTAACATTATTTTAGTATACACTTAAAATTGTTCAATAAGTTCAGTGAATAAAAAACAATAAACTGATTAATATCATCCTACATTGTTCATGACGATAGGGAA